GTGCGCTGCGCGGTTCACGGAGTGCACCCCATCCGTGGGGCCCGGGGATCAGTTAGGCCATCCGTGGATTGCGCAATTCCTTTGGAGCCGATGTTGCGAAGTAGCTGCGACATCACAGGAGATCACGGCCAGGTCCTCGGACCCCGTCTTTCTGCGGCATTCTTCGAGCCCGATCGGGTCCCAGGGCCCGAACATGGGCGAACACGCCCGGCGCAAAAAAAACGCAACGCCCGGATCTCATGCGTGCTGTGACGTCCGTGCCTATCACCTGCTCCGCCGTGCTTCGGCATATCTTCTGACTGAACGCTGTGTCAGAACCGCACCCCCCACGATGCGAAGAGAATAACAAAGCACTTCCGCCTCAGGAAAGTAAGACGGAGATCTCCGAAACCGTACGGCGGATAGAGCGGCGGCAACTTATGGCTAAGGTATACGTCAAGCGAGTTTTGAAGATCGGCGGCAAAAAATAAGGCTGACATCTACTTCGAATTTCTCAACAAGCGGTGGGGGGGGCGTGACCCCCGCCGACAGCCCCACATCGACCACCGTCGCGGGCATCCACCGCGCGCCGAAGGCGCTCGGACCCCCGTCGCGGCGCGACGACGGGGCGACGTTGACCCCCGTCGAGGGGGGGACTCCCCCACGCATATTAGTTAAGAAACCCAAACTACATCAGACGAGCTTCTAAAATAGGGCGGAGACGTCCGCACGACTTGCAAATATTTCCAAGAAGCAGGGCGGATCCGGAATGCGGGCCCTCCGACGGCGACGACGGAGCGGGCGGCAGGGCCTCTCGTTCTCGGCCCGCTGCGCCTCCAGCTCGGCCGCGAGCCTGCGCATCTCCGCGCTGGCCGACTCGCCCTCCTGGGGGCGAGGGGGACTGAGCAGGGACCGACCGTCCGTCCAAGCATTCCGACAGGCCTGCCGCGAACTGTTCTTAGAACCGCAGAATGTCCGAAAAACAAAAGCAATGCTATTAGAACATGACGCCGATGGATAAAACCAATGCGGCTTCAGCCAAAAATGCTCTGATAGCACCTCGTGCACACCACAGCCGGTTCTGAGAACATTCTTTGGTGGGCCTGTGAGCAAGCCAGGACGCTCTCCTGTGGGGACACGGATTTTGTACACCACCCCCACGAACCAGCTGGTCCGGCACAAGACCGTGGAGCGGGGGCCGTATCCCGAAATGGCATCCCTTGGGGGCACGATTTGCTTGGACACCACACTCACGAACAAGCTGGTCCTGCACAGAATGCGCAAGGCGCGGGCGGTGGCCATACATCGGCCCCTGGTGGAGGTGCCGAGGCTCAGTTTATTATTATTATTATCATTATTATTATTATTATTATTATTATTATTTTTATTATTATTATTATTATTATTATTATTATTATTTATTCTTACTATTATTATTATTATTATTATTATTATTATTATTATTATTATTATTATTATTATTATTATTATTATTATTATTATTATTATTATTATTATTATTATTATTATTATAGATATATATATATATATATATATAGCGACGGGCGTGCTGACCCCCCTCCCTTCGCCTCAAGGGGTGCGTCGCGCATGCGTCGCCGGAGCGTCGGCCGCCGAAGAGGCCTTCCGTCCTCGCGAAGATGCACGTTGCCCTCGCCCACGTCGCCCTCGCCCTCCGAGCGCGAGAGGAGAGGGGCCTCTCTCGCACCGCTGCGCAGCGATCCCTGACCCGAACCGCCTGCTCCGCGCGCCGCGGGCCCGCCGCGGCCAGGAGGCGCGGGGGCCCCCCAGACCTCCGGGGACCAAGTCTCCGCCCAGAGGAAGGAGCTCTGAGGGGCCTCCTCCTGCTCCTCCTGCTCCTCCTCCTGCTCCTCCTCCTCCTGCTCCTCCTCCTGCTCCTCCTCCTCGTCCTCCTCCTCCTCCTCCTCCTCCCCCCCGGCTCTTGCTCCTCCTGCTCCTCCTGCTCCTCCTGCTCTTGCTCCTCCTCCTCCTCCTCCTCCTCCTCCTCCTCCTCTCCTCCCTGCATCAATCATCTCCATCATCATCATCATCATCATCATCATCATCATCATCATCATCATCATCATCATCATCATCATCATCATCATCATCATCATCATCATCATCATCATCGTCATCGTCGTCGACATTATCATCATCATCATCATCATCATCATCATCATCATCATCATCATCATCAGCATCAGCATCAGCATCAGAAGCATCAGCATCAGCATCAGCATCATCATCGTCATCGTCATCATCATCATCATCATCATCATCATCATCACCACCACCACCACCATCATCATCATCATCACCACCACCACCATCATCATCATCATCATCATCAGCAGCATCATCCTGCTCATGCTTATCTTCATTCTCCTCCTCCACCTCCTCCTTTTCCTCCTCCTCCTCCTCCTCTTCTTCTTCCTCCTCCTCCTGCTCCTCCTCCTCCTCCTCGTGCCACTCCTGCTCTTCGTCTTCGTCCCCCCCCTCC